TGAAAATAACTATTTGTTCTGGAATTAAATTATTAAGTCAATTATCACTTCACATCAGCTTCATCGACATCTAGTGAATCAAAAAAGTCCAATTCAATACGAGTCTGAAGAGAATCGACAGAATGAGGTCCAAAATCCAGCTTATGTTGAATGGGTCATATAAGACTCAATGTTGTTATCGTGGTCGTTGTCCACTATTTTAAAATCTGTTGTGAATGAGATTCTCGGAGTAAAGTACGTACACGAAGCATGAGACAAGATACACAAACTCTTTCATGGAGCTACGAAGTCCAAAGTGCGTAGTTACATTTTGAACTTATATCGATCAATAAAGGTACCAGATCTGAAAAAAAGTTCTTGACTCATATAAAAAGTTTGTGTGATTCGCTTAAATATGAAATCCAGTGACTAATGAAGATCTAACATATTATATACTAGAAGGACTTCCACTAGAGTACAATGCTTTCAATACTACTGTTCATGGTAGGAAAAATCCTTATTCGATTGAAGATCTAACTATTGAGCTAATGACGGATGAACAAATGCTTTTGAAGTAAAACAAAGCACTTCTTGGAGAATTAGTGACTGCTAATGTTGCTCAGCACTCACAGAACGTATAGAGGCAAAACAACAATACTGCGCAAAATACTATATTTGCCCTTGTTTTAGGTAACCAAGAACAAAGCATGACGCAACAACCTGAACAATCAGGTTATGGAGCATTTAATGAATCTAACAACTCTAATAGAGGACGTGGATGCTTCCATGGAAGAACAAATAGAGGAAGAGGTTGTGGTACAAGGCAGAAAGTTTATTGCCAGCTTTAAATATGGTCATGACGTTATGACATGTTGGCAATGATTTGATGAGGACTTTGTGTGAAACTTTCCTCCATTAGAAATATCAACTAATAATCAAAATTTTGTGCTGACACAACAATCATAGAATCAACCAAGACCTTATCAGTATATCAGACCTGCTACTGCGGCACCTCAAGCCAGGATTGCAGCACAACTAGCGTTACTGCCTACACCCACAACTGCTCCAGCTATTGAATGGTTTCCAACTCAGGTGCCTCTTATCATGTCACTGCTAATCTTGTAAATTTGATGCAAAGTCAGCAGTTGAGTGGTTCAAACTGTCAGGCGGGTCCAGGGGAAGCCCGTGGCGGGGGCCACCACCAATGAGCAAGTTACTCCAAGTACACCAAGTGGGTCCGACACCACATCTCAACCCAAAATCTTAAGACATCGGGTTCATGGGTCCTTCCACTTATATACTCTTCACTTAGCTCATTACCAATCAATGTGGGACTCATCACACTTGAATATCTCAACAATCTCCCCCTCAAGTGTGAAACTCACTATTGGTATGCTCCCCCTCAACCGAGTACCCGAAGCGTAAAGTACTCGACCTGCCTCCTAGCCAATCACATGGCTAGCTCGAGCACAACCCGGCTCTGATACCACTGTCAGGCGGGTCCAGGGGAAGCCCGTGGCGGGGGTCACCACCAATGAGCTAAGTTACTCCAAGTACACCAAGTAGATATGATACCATGTCTCAACCCAAAACCTTAAGGCATTGGGTTCATGGGTCCTTCCACGTATATACTCTTCACTTAGCCCATTACCAACCAATGTGGGACTCATCACACTTGAATATCTCAACACAGACCAACTTCTGATTGGCAACAGACAAGGTTTGGCTATTAAAAGTTGTTGGCTCATCTAAATTTCTATCACCTTATGTCTCAAGTAAACATTTGCACCTTATAAACTTACTGTTAATTCCATCTATCATGAAGAATCTAATGAGTGTTAGTCAGTTTGCACGTGATAAATATATTTATTTCGAAATTCGTCCAAATGTGTGCCTTGTCAAATCGCAAGAATTCCATAATGTCCTTCTTCGTGGAGTTCTTGGCACTGATGATCTGTATTGTTTCTTAGACATCTCTTTACACCAGGATTCCACTCATGCTCCAACTCCTGCTTTTATTTCAAATCACAGTAGTATTCCTCTCAATGTGTCTTCTGATTGTAATAATGTTCAAAGTGTGTCTGATTTTGTTAGTTAGTCTTGTATTCCTCAAAATTCTACATATCATTTGTGGCATTGTCATTTAGGTCACCCTAGTCGTGCAACATTGAGGAATGTACTTTGTACTTGTTATATACCCATTATTAATAAAAGTGTGACTGATTTGTGTGCCTCTTGTTGTATTAGGAAAGCTCATAGATTTCCATCAACACCATCATTAACATAATATAACTCACCTTTTGAACTCATATATAGTTACCTTTGGGGGCCAACTCCTTTTACATCAGTTTTGGGATATAAGTATTATATTTCCTTTGTTGATACCAATACTAGATACACTTGGCTATACCCCCTTAATCAGATGCCCTTGAAACATTTAAACATTTTCATTCTATGATAACCACCCAATTTCAGCTTCCAATCAAAGCTGTTCAGACTAATTGGGGAGAGGAATATAGATCTTTCACTAATTAATGCTTTAATCCCTAGGCTTGCAAATCTATCGTACGTTAAATAACAACGTTGTTCTTTATGAGTTACGACCCTTTTGCTACAGTAGCAATAACGATGCTACTCTTATAAGGAAAATGAACCAAAAAATCGTAGTCATAAAGCAACTATTACAACAATTACCAATCATTATCTTGAAGCAACTTTGTGTATAACATTCTTCCTCCCATTCAAGAGGCAAAAGAGCATGTACAAGATCCTTAAAATTAACTGTAGAGTGTAGATCCTTCGCAGCCTCCACATTCAAAGAATCCAACATCAATAGCTTAATCCATAGTAGAACCAGTTTTCTTATGCATTTGAGTAATACGTGTTCAGATCTAAGTGTGAGTAGTAAAGTTTTATATTAGATGGAAATATGCTAAGTGAGGATTATATAAGTAGAAAGACTTATAAATTGAATACCTTAATATTTTGGGTTGAGATATAATATTAATTCCACTATACTGTCACTTAGCCCATTCATGTTTGATGTGACGTATAAGACCTGATAGTATAAGCTTATACTATACGTTATGACATTTTCAGTTGTTTGGTGTGACCATCGTATAGTATAAGCTTATACAGCATGATCCCTTAATACATCAAAATGATGTATAACTTAATCCGGCCTAAGGGGGAGGGATAAAGCCTGATAAGAGGTTGGTGTATTAACATCGTTAACTAGTGTAATTCTAAAAAATTAATATATTATTTTAATATTAATATATTAAAATAAAAATAATTTTTTAATATATTAATTTTTAAAATATTGAATATTTTTTTTTATAAAAATTAATTTATGTTTTGGACACACTGATCAATAAATTTTTATAAAAATTAATATCATGTGACATTTTTTTGAAGAATTAATATAAATTTTTTATTAAAGGATATTTTTATTAAAAATTTATTTTTATCCTATATAGTATTATACAATGCATTATCAAATACTAGATGATATTATCTTATACAATATATTATTTTATACAATACCGTACCAAACGCTGGATAGTATTAAAATTTAATCAGGCCTTATATTATCAGGTCTTATACTATCAGACCTTATCCTATACTATGCACCAAACATGCCCTTAATGGCATAACTCCTGCTACCATAATTACCCAACGATACGCTAACGAGAGAGAGAGCATTCCAATAAAGTGACCATTACAATCAAATAAATATTCATTCCGACGACAATTAAATGAATTTAGGCTAGGTTGAATTTTACTATGTTTCAACATGTTCTTATAGTTTAAAAGTTTTTTTTATTTTATCAATGTGGTCTTTGGAGAACTATATCCTATAAAGTTCGACCAAGTTGTAATTGAATTAGTTAATACATATAATAGCTTGGGTGTAATAGAAATTTTATAATTTCATTTATGGTGATAAGAACCACTTCAGCTCAAAACCTTAAGGTATTGAGTGAGGCTAAATTAATTATTTTATATCTCTCTAACACCCCCCTCATATAAGAGCCCTCTGCGCTTGAAGCGTGGATATGACACAAGTCCATTTTTGATCTGCCTTGTGCTTTTTTTAATTCCACCTGAAAGTGGGGGTGGTGAGTATCGAACTCGTGACCTTGTGGTCACGGAAGCTCTGATACCATGATAAACGCCACTTCAACCCAAAACTTTAAGGCGATAGGTGATGGTCTTTTTAATATTTCATATTCACGCAAGAGCCATTTGGGCTTGAAGCGTGGATATGACAGAAGTCCATTATTGGCCTGCCTTGTGCTGCACAAGCACATTTTTTTGGTCTGCCTTGTGCTTTTTCTTAATTCCACCTGAAAGTGGGGGCGATGAGGATTGAACTCGCAACTTCGTGGTCACTAAAGCTCTGATACCATGATAAACGTCACTTCAACCCAAAATCTTAAGGCGATAGGTGATGGTCTTTTTAATACTTTATATTTTATTCTCTAACATATGATTTAATCTCTTTCATGTTACAGGAGATAAAATGATCTCATGTACACACATAAAAATGTGTGTGATATATATATATATATATATATATATATATATATATATATATATATATATAGGGTTCGCTTTTTCTGCAGTTACTGCAGAAAAATTATCTGCAGTAAGCTAATACGACGTCATTTTGGAGCAAAAATCATAATATTTTTGTAATTTTTATTTATTTCAGGGTTATAATAGTCTTTATATTTATAATTTTTTGAATAAATACCCTTTTTCGTCCCTGACAAATTCCATGAAGTCCTTTTCGGTCCTCAACAATTAAAAAGGGACATCGTGGTCCTTGAAATTGTAAAAAATAAGCCACGTTAGTCCTTCTGTTAGTGGGGCTCTAACGTCGTTACTAACGGTGCTGATGTGTACTGTTAAGTTGCTGACTCACTGTGGAAAAAGCCACCTGGACAAAAAAACGACGTCATTTGATAGCTTTTCACTTCTTTTTTTCCTTCTTCTTCTCTTCTCTCCAATACGGTTCAGGGACCACCCATGTTCTGATATCCATTGTTCATGGCTTGAACACCATTCTTGTTTCCTCCACCTCCACCATTTCTAGCCTGTGGTGCCCCACCTCCATTTTTGCCACCATTGTTTTTGTTACCACCCTGATTCTGAATGTTTCCTCCTCCTCCACCACCTCCACCTCCACCTCTCTTTTTTTCCTCTATTGCCATTCATTTGCACAGGCACAGGTACTCCAATGGAGGAAGGGTTCAAATTGAAAATTGGGATGTAGTCCGTGAACTTCTTTCTAATAGATTTATCCCTTAAATATTTATAATTTATATTTCTTCGAATCCCAACATTAGTCTTATAAGCAGTGAAAAAATATCACATCTTCAAACCAGCTGAGAAACAAGCAAGAAAACTAATTAATTAATTTAAGGATGCATTAACAAATATTTCCATACCTGGGTTATGAAGCTATGAGCACCATTAAAACCCTCCTTCTCGCCAGTATTAAATAAGAATATAACAGCTTTCTTCAATCCATGAGCCCACTGAGAAATTCCACGAGCAAGTTCCAGCATAACACCCACACAACATGAACTGCAATCTCCAGCCCCTGCTCTGTTAAATGAATGCTATATGTTTAGAAGCAAATTATATAGTGCCTTCAATGCAGACTCTCAACAAATCATTATTTCCTATTAATGCTACATCTAGTAAGAAAAAAAAACAAAGGAAATAACTTTGAAGTTTGTGTGCAGAAACTGCATTTACCACTATAAACAACATGATATAAACTACTCATTCTGTTCTTCAACCACTTAAGGATGAACAAATACACTTTACAATGAAACACAACAACAAAATAGAAAAAGGGTTACAAACCAACACGTCTAGACTCAAGATTGTTAACCAAAAGAAAAGCATTGTTCCCCATCTACTTTTCCTAGGCCAGACTTAGCAAAATAGGATGAGTTATTAATGTTCATCAGGACAAAAATTTGTTTCTCCCCAGGTAAAAAGTTGGAAACAAGATATACTTTATAAACGATTCATTGATAAGGAACGGACAAGAAGAGAAGAGGGAGTGTGAATAAAACTAGAGATTAAAACAAACAAAACGTTTCTTTCTTTCATTGAGATAAAAATAAAAGTAGCTAAAAGGTGAAGGAAATTTTTAAGAAAAAAGAAGAAGAAGAAAAGGATTTTGACACCTGAGGTGTGAAACCTTGCATGATTCAACACTTTACCTGCAATTTTGAAACCAAACTTTGATGTGTTTTGGCTCAATATTAGAAAGGATGGGGCACTCCTTGATGAGTTGCTGTCTCCTCAATTCTTGAAAAAGGTTTGAACGTGGAGTACCTGTGCCTGTGCAAGTGAATGACAATGGAGGAAAAAAAAGAAGGTGGAGGTGGAGGAGGAGGAGGAAACATTCAGAATCAGGGTGGAGGTAACAAAAACAATGGTGGCAAAAATGGAGGTGGGGCACCACAGGCTAGAAATGGTGGAGGTGGAGGTGGAGGAAACAAGAATAGTGTTCAAGCCATGAACAATGGATATCAGAACATGGGAGGTCCCTGAACCGTATTGGAGAGAGGAGAAGAAGAAGGAAAAAAAAAGTGAAAAGCTATCAAACGACGTCGTTTTTTTGTCCATGTGGCTTTTTCCATGGTGAGTCAGCAACTTAACGGTACACATCAGCACCGTTTGTAACGACGTTAGAGCCCCACTAACAGAAGGACTAACGTGGCTTGTTTTTTACAATTTCAGGGAGCACAATGTCCCTTTTTAATTGTTGAAGACCAAAAAGGACTTCGTGAAATTTGTCAGGGACGAAAAATGATATTTACTCTAAATTTTTAAGATTTCAATACTAAAACAATGTCGTTTTGGAAATAAATGCAGATAACTTATCTGCATTAACTGCAGAAATATTTTTTCCATATATATATATATAATTTTTCTCTCTCTCTCTAATTAGTGATTATTAGCTCAAGAATTTACGAGGCTAGTTATACATTTTGATCAGTTTCAATTAACGTCACTAGGTAGGTAACTTTTTTTTAGATTGGAGTTTCCTTCTTTTGAGTTGACTGAGTTGACATGATGTTCAAGTTCTGCAAGGAATAGATGGGATGTGTAACTGCAATACTCCAGTGCACAAGTCAATATTTATTTGAAATAATGAATTAGTATAGGGATTAGACGAATACTTAAGAATTGATCTCCAGTAATTACACTGACATTATTGACTTCTAGAGAGTAGAGACAGTTTCAAGCTTAACAACTCACTAAGATGCGTGTGTTTGTCTTCTATACTTGTAACCGTGACAGAATGTCCGTGAGGTGTGCGACTTACGCGTTAAATAGATTCTTCAAATGTTAGTCTCGAGTTACTTCACTGAGAGAGTAAATGTTGATGGGCTAATAGTATTTTTACGAAATTCTTAAAGATATAAAACATTATCGCATTTGTTTTTGTGAAAAATTAAATTAGTAACATAAAAAATGGAATTGATAGATATTTTATGTTTATGGGATAGTAATTTCGTAACGAATTTTTTTTAAATAATTAATATAATAACACGTTTAATATTTGAGGATCAATTTAAAAATTTATTCTCAATTAGATCATAGTTTAATCCTTGGCATGTTATCTTTAGCTTTTAGGGCTAGGAAGTTAAAATTCGAACCTTGTTATTACCTCCATTTTTTCATAATCCACGAGGGTGAATTTACATATATTAATTGGATCGTAACGTGAACATGCAACTGACATATTATTCAATCGTACTGCCATGAAATTCCAAATTACTATTTGTGTTTTAAAACAATTGTTAGTATTCTCCCATATTACTTAAAAAAATTGCTTTTAGAAAAAATAAAGAACAGAAATTATTATATATTTTGAGAATATTAAAAGGGATTATATCGATGTTAAATTTTAAAATTTGATATCAAATTTCAATCTTTGATTTTCGTCAATCAACGATTATCATTTATTGAGAATTAATATTAATAAATTTGATTTTCAATAAATGATAACCGTTGATTGACGAAAATTAAATGTGAGAATTTTGTGTCAAATTTCAAAATTTGATACCAGTATCAAAAATCTTACCTTTTATATATATATATATATATATAGAGCGCATGTAAATTGTCAAATTTTTTAATTAGAAAATAAATTAAACATTTATCTTGTTTATTGGAAGACATCCATAACGTACTAATGCTCACGTAAGTTTTTTCCTTTTAAGATACACGCGTAACTTATTTGGTTAGCAATTAATTATTAGTTTAATTCATAAAACTATATTTTTTAATAATTTATTTTTTATTTATCATTGATTATCCGATTAATATTTCATTTAATCTCTTAAGCCAAAAAAGTCTTAGAGAGCCACAAAATTTTCACTAAAAGTTTTGACAAATTAATATTATTTAAAATCATAATTAAATTTTGATAAAACTTATATTAATTCTCAACATACAAATATTATTATGCACGTCAGTTTTGTTTTAACTTTTAGCAGAAATCACTTTTCGTTGTCAAAAATTGGACTTAAAGTGTAACCGAACGTGTTTGGTTAATTTTGAGTAAAAAGAAATAAATTTACAGTGAGAAAAGTCAATTTTTATTAGAAATCAATTTTGTCCAGATATACATCCGCCAATATTGAAAGTAATCGCACAATGACTTAATAAAAAGTAATCAAATTGATTGGATACAATACAACCGAAGTAAGTGGTCGTAAGTTTCAACAAAGGTAACACGCAGGTGATTCCATCACTCATTTCCACTCACCTTATAAAAGGCAAGATCATTTAAATGACCCAAAAAATCTTATACCCTCAACCTCAATCCTTAAACCCTAGCCGCTGCTGTTCAGTGCTTCTCGTCTTCTTTAAGGTAATCTCTCAAATCTCAATATATATTATATGTTATTTCAATGCATTTATCTGTTTTTTTTATTATATCAATTGATCTATTTTTTCTCTTCAATTTTTTTTGAACCGTTTCTTGAGCATTCATTGGTTTCTTTGGGCATTTTGGGTTTCCTAGAGTTTTCATTTCTATTTATCTTTCTCTGTCTTTGTAATTCCCTCGCTAATTTGTAGACTTGTTTTCTCGAAATGAAATGTAAGTATGTTTTTTTCCCTTTGTACAATAACGTTGTTATGTTTTGAGTGGTATTTGGATTCTGAAGTGGATTGTGTTAGTGAGAAATAATGGAACTTATTTTTATCTGTTAGTTTTGGTTGATTCTGATATTGTAACTTTAGAAGTGCAATTTGTGCATACCCACATATGTATTTGAACTGATTTTGTAATTTGCGTTGATGCCCGTCTTTCCTACTAGGCATTTTTTATTGTACTGGGTCAGTGGCAGGGAGAGAGGTGATTTAATATCAGAATTTATTTTCTGCCACGATTAAGTACTTTTTGCTGATGTTGCTATTTCTTTATTCAGTCTGGGATTTGATTTTCCTTGTTCTTGCGCGTTTGTGTTGTCAATCTCTTGCCATTGTTTTGTGTTTTGTTTGTCTCCCACATGCTGATGGCAATGCCCATAAAATATAAAGGCAGAAGTTGTTTTGGTTTTCTATCCCTATTAAGGTGAATCTGACCTTGCAGCAATGGAGGAGCCACATTGAGACCAGTTGGGGCCTTGGTATGGCTGGTTTTAAAAAAGGATACATGTTTTCTTTAAATATTATGGTTACTGGTTGAGTTTTCAAAAATGGTACAACCTTGACACTGGCTGGGTTTTTTGGCACTGGCTAAAATTATTTCCGGGCTCCGCCACTGCCCTGCAGTATCCTTTATGGCTTAACCCTATAGTGATGCCTGCTCAAATGGGTTGTTAGTGTGTTTTTAGGGAAAAGTATTTAAAATTTTCTCATGATGTGGTTCCTACTTATAATTTTTATTCAGTTCTTCTTGTTGTAAGCATCTAAGCATGATTAAAGTGTTTATAATAAATATCGATCTTGTTGGTGGTGTCAGGTACTTGTGAGGCCTAACAGCTGAAAATCATAATGGCATTGTGTAATAACCTCAGAAATCTCTTGAGGCAGAGTGCTACTCAGAGCAGACAAGCACCTGCTGCATCTATGCTTAATTATGTTCGCTGCATGTCTTCAACTAAGCTATTCATTGGAGGTAATGACTATTGTTGAAAGTATTATGGGTGCAAACCATATATTTTGGCATTTTTATAAATATTTATTATTTTAACTTTTTCTATTTTAGGTCTTTCATATGGTGTTGATGAGCAGTCTCTTAGGGATGCATTTTCAAGCTTTGGTGATGTGGTCGAGGGTGAGTTCAGTTTGCTGTATTTTTGTACTCTGGTGTTGACAATGGAAATAAATGGATATTGCAAAGTTACAAAGAAGCAGCGTAGTTTGTATAATAAAAATAAAGAAGCAATGTAGTTTTAGCATAATAGCATGTATTATTCTATTTGTACTTCAGAGAAGTGATTCATTTTTGTTTCTAGGTTTGAGTATAATGCGATTTCCTTTTAGGTTGCATACGGGCATATACTCAAACATACATTGTTAAAAACCAATTAGCAGGTGTGGTGTAAAACACAAGTCCCGTCATGAACGGATGCATCTGAAATGCCTAAATTTTATGATATTTTGAGTATTTAGGTTTCATACCAATCATAATTAGGTCTCTTGCTCTTGTTACTACTACTACTACACCTTTACTTACCTATAAACATCATGCTTGTGCAAGGATGTCAATTTCATCATTTCCCCTAGTAGCTATTTCTTTTTTTCCTTTTAAATTTCAGTTTGCTTCAAGTTGCAAAACTATATTGGGTCTTTTATTAATAATACACTTCATCTGTGGTTCAATATTTTTGCCTGGTTGGATATAGTACCACGTTTCCCACTTTACTCTGTTATCATTAGAATAAGTATTGGCGTTCAGATGCTGATGCACTATTAGATATTTGTTGCTTGTAAGAAGTTATTCTGCCATTCTGTTTTTGGGAATTCACCTGGATATGATTCTTTAATCATAGCAGAGATTGTGGTGTGTTTTTATGGTGTAAGAGTTATGAAAATTATATTCTTGGGTCATAATGTGTGTATTTGAGCTGGCATATTCAAGTAAATGCTTCATTTCTCTTGTTTTTTAGTATTTTAAAACTGGAAAAAACATTAGAAGAGGTGGGATCTTATGCATGTTCTTAAGAGAAGTCTGCCTGAATCTCCTGGTCTTGTTGTAGTTTAAGCAAACTCATAATTAATTTGGTTGTGTTGTACAGCAAAGGTTATCACTGATAGGGACACTGGAAGGTCAAAGGGATTTGGATTTGTCAACTTCAACAATGTGGAGTCAGCAGGTGCAGCACTCTCTGCAATGGATGGGAAGGTAGGATTATTGGAATGCTTTTCTGTTATTTAACATTATTGTCATTGCCAGGGGCAGAGCTAAGCTAATGTAGTAAGGGGGGCCAAAAGGAAAATATTATTTTCTTTTCTTTTCTGAAAAATAAAATAAAATAATTTAAAATCTAGTTTATTTATTTTATGAAAAAACTACCCCCTCCTCCCCAAAATCCTTAAACAAAGTGTTGTCCCTAATTATTAGAGTATGTTGTAAAGCTTTAAAGCTTTACAACATACTCTAATACTAATTATTGCTAGTTGACTGACATGCTCTTGTTCTTTAGGAGTTAAATCAACGAAGCATTCGGGTGAGCTATGCAAATGATAGGCCTGCTGGACCTCGATCTGGTGGTTATCGTAGGGATGATGATTTTGGTGGCCCAGCCTTTTAAGTCTGTTCCTTCATGTTTGTTGGCTATATCAGTAGCGCATATACAATTTTGTATACACTGACATGGATCAAATAATGTTTTTAATCCTGACTTTTATGTGTACTTCGTTTTATGAACTGCAATAAGAAAGAACATTACTATGTACGTTTATATAATTTTCAATTTCGTTTGCAAATTTCATATATAATTCAACTATTTGCAATGTGTGGAAATAATTTTAGTGACCATTTTGTATATAGTTCCTATTCAATCAAGAACAGGAAATGCACTCTAGAGCATTGCCTGACATATGCCACTATATAATGTGGAGTTAGCGCTTTAACTCTTTCTGGTCAGTACTGCTACTCACTCCGGTTTTAGTAGCTTGTGAGTAGTGCATATTCTAAGTCCTAATAAGTAATTCCATAACCATTCAACTTTTGAATGATAATTTAATTGTTAATGTTATTTTCTAGGCAATTTCATGTACAATTAATACCCACAAGAGAATGGTTTAAGTGTTAAACATATCTCAAAGCTATTGTTGTATTAGAAAATGTCTTGGCATCATCAATATCCTTGTTTCATGTCTTTCCTGATAAAATCATTGAATGCATGGTCTAAATGTGTGAAATTATTACGGTACTCCGGTTGCTCATTGCGACGAGGCAATCAAAATTGTGCAATGATTGTGATGTGTACGGAAGAGAGAAGAAAATGGTTTTTTAATTCGAATGTCACATTTTTAATGAAAAGTGCACATATTACGGGTGTACAGAAAAAGCCTTCCTAGATGTGGGTTGTTGAGTGAGGTTCTTTGCCTTGACCAATTTTCAAACTCTCGTAAATTGTAAATCTCACGGGTCTAAGATTTGGACATCCTAATGCATTTCTTCATAAAATTATAACTCGCATAAACATATTGTATATTACAATTACATTTTTGGCACCCCGGGGCTTGTGGGAGGGATGGATATGATAAAATTAAGGGGAATACTTTTCTCCTTTAAAAGGAGAAAAGAGTTGTCTCCTACTGAAACAAAAAAGTGGGACCAGCAATTTAAAAAAAAAAAAAAACAAAAATAAAAGCTTGACACGGAAGTCGATGTATGTGTAGGAATGAAATGTTGTCTCATGTGAAAGGAGAAAAGCATTTCTCAAAAATTAAAGTAGGAGGGAAAATTGATAATGTATATGCAGACAATACAATTGTAGAATTTTAGACTTAGATATGTTCCATAATTTGGTTTCTGTATTTTTCATGTAGCTGTTTCCACTCTTACTATGTTAGCACGCTGAGTTTTTATGTAAGAAGTCCATATAAATTTAGATACCTCTATGACAAAGTATCACGATGCCACTTTTTCTTGAATTGTCAATTGTGAAATAGCATGCTCGACTTTTTGTTTCATCGCTCTGAAGTTGTTTACCTACGACCAGCGTCTGTTGAGATATATTGTCTCATATTGGTTGTATGAGCAACTAATATGGAGTTTATAAGGCTTTGGACACTCTCACCCTTTGAGCTAGCTTTTGAGGTGGTGTATCCCAAGATTCTTTACATGGTATCAGAGCCACGCCGCCCCCCCACTTTCTCTTGTGGAGTTTCTTAGCACAGGTAGGCTGAGCCTTGCATCATCCACTCTTCAAGCTCAATGGGCTCTTGTATGAGGGAGCGTGTTGAGATATATAGATATATAGTCTCACATTGGTGGTATGAGCAACTAATATCCAAATACATGTTATTCAAAAATGAACTTGGGGATATTTTTGCACCAAAGCAGTCGTTTCTAAACACTACTGCGAGATCTATGATGCCTGAATCATAGTAGAAAACACGAATCACAATGCAAAATGCCAAGAAAAAGACGAAGAATTCTTTTCTACTCACTTTTTTTTTTTAAATTTTATAATGTATTATAAACACCCCCCCCCCCATTTCAATCTTCGTTGTGTTATGTAGGATAATACAATTATCTTTTATGGGAGACAATCCTGTTCGGGTGCAATGTTTTAAATTCCTCCGAAAAATATTAGTGAGCAAGATCAAACACATGCTCTCATATACCAACTGAGCTACCATCATTTGATTTGTACAGATCGCAATTCTAGTTGACACGATATGATATGAATATAAATACATTCAATATGAGTGTGACATGAATTTGAAAATGAGTTAAACTTCTGACACGAACATGACCCGCTTATTTTACAAGTTGATAAGACATGACACAAATAAACCTCAAAGTGTGTTCCAACCTAAATCTCGAAATATTATTTATTATGAGTTGACACGACACGATAAAACACGAATAATATACACACAATACATTTGTAAGAAGATTAACTAGGCCAATTTCGTGTTTTGCGAATTGACATATACAACACAACATCTATGCGAATTTTTCGTTAAAAATTAAAAATTAACGGATGAAACGGTTGGCGAGAGAGGTCATAAATTTCTTAAATTGGTCAAACAGTATGATGTCATACTGTTCAAAGTTTTGAAGGGATTCACATTGTCTACAGACTACAGTTTTGAAGAAAACTGTACATAATCTCTACCATTACAATTTTTTTTAGGAGAATATATTTTTCTTTGTTGCATATTTTTTTTATATGCACGACACAGAATTGTCTATTCAACATGATAAATATATTTCTTTTTTTTTTTATTGCAAAATAAACAATAAAAGTTGTTAAACAAGTGGCAAGCATTAAATGCGTGATAGCATGAGGTGCAGTTTTTTTCCTGGATTGCCGACGATCCTTTTTTTCCGTTTTGAAGTGAGATATCACCCAAACGTAGGGTCATATGCCTTTGTACTCACTCAAGTCATAACAAAAGCTACTGAGATTGCACTTCCATAACGTGGTTGTCGGTTTGGGTGTCTTTGTCCTGTTCTAGGCTTCTAGCTGGTCCACTTACATGAACGTCACAATCTTACAGACCCAACAGCTTACCAATCAATAACAATTTCACATTCTTTGGTGAAAGGTTATGTTCCATTCATTCTATTCATATTATCTATATATATATAATTGTATGCTATCAAATAACCTTGTGTTGCTTTAGTGGAAATTAAAGATAAACGTGTCTATATTGTCTATTCACTTCTTAATTAACCTTTTATCCGTACGTTAACATACATAAAATAAGATGCATAAGTTATAACGACATATATAACTGAATGGACAAATATGTTATATCATTTCTCTCTTTTGGAACTTGGAGTTCAGCGTCTTGACTCTTAACAAGTTCAACGAAAGAGATAGACGTTGTCATTTTTTTTTTATACCTAATATGGATTTAGAATGACTAAAAGGAGTAAAGTTTGGCGTCATTTCAATTTGCAACTAATTTTTTTCAAGGGTATACCATATATCGTGTTAAGGTCAACTGACTTGAGATTACATTGCTAACTATTTCCGTTACGTACGATATATTGAAATATTGATTACATATCAGACTCGTGTGTAAATTAAAGAAAAATATTTCTTGCAAACTATTTTTTTTTTTACGTATTATGTTTTACCAACTTATTTGGGAAAAGAAAATAAAGAAAGAGTATGTATTGAAAAATGTGTTTTTCTTGATTTATTACCCAAAAAGTAAGAGCAGAATATGAAGGGTTTTTTTTAAGTTTTTTTTTTTTTTTTACATTCTTTTTTCTTTCTTTTTTTATCGATAAATAATGTTGTTTGATAGTAAATATTATATCATTCATACAATTTTTTTTAATAATTAAAGTCTTTATATGAAAATTTAATTTATTTTGTCAAGGCTATCAACTATATATGAAGGAATACAAACATAAATTTAAAAAGTTGGAGCAACCATGGCATAATAATTTCCCCACTTCTCTCTGCCTTTGCCAAAAAGAAAATAATGTAAGAATGATGTAATGAAATTGAAGTGTAAATAAAATTTTCGTAACCCAAACGAGTGATCTTGAAATCAAATTTTCGAAAATTAAAACTATTGAAACCCAAAGAGCAACAGAGATTGAAAAAGTAAAAGTAAAAATAAAAAAACTGAATTTACTCTCTCTTCTAAATGTCTTTGCTTACGTGGAGAAATGGGTGGGTATATTGATGCTTCGATCTTTTAGGTGTATGCTAGAAGATGCCGCTTTAAAGTGAAGGGTATATTTTGAACAATAAAGTGTAAGTAATAATAATTATTAAAAGAATTAAATGAGTAAATTTTCACATATTCACAGTATGTTATATGGGTGTTTGTATTGTATGTAAAATTATAAATCGTTATTTTTATTATATGGTAATATAAATCTCAAATAAATTTAATTTGATATATCTATTTTAATATAAATCATATTAAAATATATACACTCCAAACTAAGATAAGTGATATTTTTAAATACATCATAAAATAAAAAATAATTCCAATTATAATTCTTTTGTTAGAGATATAAAAAAAGTATATCAGTAAAAAAAGTGCTTTTGAAAAAATGCGAATAATAATTGCTCAATTTATATATAAGAGCTAAACAGATAAAGGTAAGAGAAATCCAACATGTAAGTCACATCTTAAATTGCAATCAACCTCTGTCTAGTGGCTTTGATTGGTTGGTGTTAATCTTAAATTCCGGTCGTTGTTCCTGCATGTAAGTCACATCTTCACCCGGCTCAACGTGTTAGAGATGATCTCTATTATATGATAAAAGGTTGTTAGAAAAATTATGCATCTAATTAATAAGATTAAAGAACATACTTCACCTTTAATAAGTAAATTAAGTGATGAATAACTTTAAACTAATTAATTAAAGAGCTTTCGTACATAGTATCAAGGGATTAAGCATAAATACTTACAAAAGAGGGAATCTCACGAGTACTTAAATGAAAATTAGTTTTAGGGAAAAAATGTTTCCACAGTTAATGCAGAGAAGTTATCTGCATTTATTTCCAAAACAACGTCATTTTGATATTTAAATCTTAAAAAGTTATAAATATAAAGACTATTATAACCCTAAAATAAATTAAAATTACAAAAATACTATGATTTTCGTCCCAAAACGACGTCGTATTAGCTTACTACAGATAAGTAACTACAGAAAAAGCGAACCCTTAGTTTTAAATCAAAAGAGATTGAACTTGCAAGAAAAGAAAAAAAAACATACACACATCAAATTGGGATGATGATTGTGTCCATATAGTCGATTAAAGTTAAATTGAGGGCATAACAACATATGACATAAAATTATATTCACAATGTACCAAAAATAAAATAAAATTATATTCACAATTTAAATTTTTTGTAAATGGATGAGAGACCCACAAGCCTTGAAGTAGACCCCACCCATATTATTACACGTCCAGCTCAGATACAGATACATATATAATTGCCTCTAACTTTCCCTTGTCGTGCTTGCTTGCTTGCTTTTACTTAGACATTTGTCCTCCTTCTATACCACATTTCTATATATGCCTATGTATATTCATTCTTTCCTCCACCATCATTCATGCATTCATGCATTCATTCACACATGACATGGACCACAACATTAACTTCACCACCCTTTCCAATCCAAAAAAAAAAAAACAGATAATGATAAATGATAATAATTCACAACAAAAATAAAAAAACCATGTGATTAATAATTAAGAAGAATTGCCGACGTGATTTCCCTTTTTTGCCCCCAACTGAATCCCATAATAACCAACATACCACTTGACGAACTTTCTGAGACCAGTGGCGAGGTCGGTGGTTGGTTTGTACCCAAAGTCCCTGTGAGCTAAGCTCACATTGGCATGCGTGTAAGGAACGTCGCCGTTTCGCGGCATTTTGATCACGTGCTTCTTGGCCCTCACGTGCAGCAACCCTTCCAAAATCGCAACCAACTTCCCCACCGGCACCGGCGACGTGTTCCCGAGGTTGTAAACCCTAAGCTGAGCCGGTCCACGCTTCTTCCCGCCGCTTCCGGTGCTCTTCTCCGCCGTGTCGAGTGCGCCGAGGCATCCCTTGACTACATCATCGATGTAGGTGAAGTCACGCGCCACCTCCTTATCCTCCTGCGTCTGGTAAACATCGATGGTCTTCCCCTGAAGGATGTCCTTCGTGAAGAAGAAGTAAGCCATGTCGGGTCTCCCCCATGGACCGTACACGGTGAAGAATCTCAACCCTGTGAGGGAGAGACCGTAGATGTGGTTGTAAGTGTGTGCGATTTCCTCGCCGGCTTTCTTCGTGGCGGCGTAGAGGCTCGCCGGCTGGTCCGTGCGGTGGAGCTCCGAGAATGGGTTCTCCGTGTTGAGACCGTAGACGGAGCTTGATGAGGCCCACACGATGGACGGTTGAGGGTTCGCGTTTTTCGAAACTTCTAGAAGGTTCACGAACCCGGCGATGTTGGATGCCACGTAGGATTGGGGATTCTGCATGGCGTAACGGACTCCCGCTTGTGCCGCTAAGTGGAGAATATGTGTGAACGAAACGACGTCGAAGAGTTTAGTGAGCAACGGCGCGTCGTTTAGGTCTCCTTCGACGATGAAGATTTGGTGCTTCGAGAGAAGGTCTTGTCTTGCGCGCTTCAACGACGGGTCGTAGTAGCTGTTGAAGTTGTCGAACCCGAGGACGCCGTCGCCGCGCTTCTTCAGGGCGAGGGAGCAGTGTGCTCCGATGAAGCCGGCGGCGCCGGTGACGAGGACCGACATGCCGTTGGAGCGGCGGGGGGTGGAGGAGAGGCGGACTTGCTTCTCCCATGAAGCGCCGCTGCCTCCTCCGCCGTGGAAGGCGGAGGAGAGGAAGTTTGTGGTGTGGGCGTAGAGGTGGTTGTTACTGTTAGTGTCGGTTGTTGAGAGTGGAGGGTAGTTGAGTGTGAATAAGAAGATGAGGATTAGGGCAACGAGGAAGGTGGCGCGGAAGAAGACCTTGGAGGATGCATTTAGGAGCTTGTTGCTGTTCAACCTTCGGAGGTAGCTGTTGTAACGATCTAGTTTTATGGTTTTGCTCGTGTCTGGTGGAGATGCCATGCTTCTTTTTTGGTTGAGAATTTTGAGGTTTAAGTACTGTGTAGTAATTAAGTAGTTGTTGGTTTATGTTGTTACTTTTGCTGTTTTGGAGAGAACAACATATGGAAGCTGAAAAAATGGTCTCCGAAAGTGTGTGCTGTGTTGGGTGAGAGCTGAATTGAGCTTGAGCTCTGAACTTGGCAGGGTTGTGAAAAAGATTAATATAAAGAAGGAGGACAGAGAGAGAGAGAGAAATGGGTGGGAGACCACTTTCTTTTTCATCTTAAACTCACTATCACACAGATGGAAAGTGCAGAAATATGCATGTAAATTGCCCACTTGAATTGAGACATATTGTAAAGGTAATATACCTTCTTCAATTGTGGTATTATAACTAGAAGTGGATATTTTTATTATCTCTCTAATCACCATTGAATTAATATTTTATTTTTTTTTAAAATTTTTTTAGTATTCTTTCTTTGATTCAATGATGATTAGATAGATAGTAAATTAGTAATAAAAAAATTTGGTTGTAAGAATATCCTCTCTCTCGTAACTAATGTTGAGATACAATAAATTAATTGGGATCCATTAATTTATTTATTTTATTGAAAAAAAGAGGTATATTTTTTTTGAAATCAATCTCTCGTGTAATATGAGTATATGATTTTCCTTGTAGCTATCAAGAGTTGATATATTTAAAATATTAAATGCAATCACTTTTTCATTTAAAATTCTTTTTTTAACATTTTAAAGCCATCGTATTAGTCATATCAGGATATTAAAGCCATATTTTATCATTAATTACTCGCTTATCTTGATATTTACTTCTATTAAATGCTAATACAATTTTAACTTTAAAATACTTTTTAACTTTTCCAAATTCAAAATATTCATAACTTTCTTTAAACTTCTTGTCACTTAGACTTATTACCCGGCCCACAAATTTAGGTGAGCTCATTGCAGCCAAGGGAGGATGCCCACAAATTTTAGGGTGCCTGTAAAATGTCTATGCCTGTATTAGGAAAATTTTTTTCTATATTACGGGAGTATTCAACTTGATATTACCTTTTATTAAAAAGAAATTTTTTTATTTTATTTTAACTCGTGCTTTTTTTTATAATTTTTTTAAGTCCTAAAATTTTTCTCCCTTTGACATGAATGTATTTACAGCCGGAGTATCCAAGTTTAAGGTATTTACATGAATGATCTTTCCTATAAGTACTATTTTTAGAGATGTTTTTCTTATTGCAAATATATTGATTTGATAGCTAGGTGTGATTCTGGCTTTATACCTTAAACTTGTAACGCGAGGCTATGTTCTTTTCCAATTATGCTAGATCTTCATCTTACTAGCATATCTTGTGTTCGGATTGAAGACCCGCTAAACTCGATTGTAAAATTTGTATAATCCGATGCTTCTTTTGAATGAATTTTCTTTGAAGATTAAATAAAAAAAATAGTTATATGACGATAAACTCAAAAGCGAAGTTGATACGGCCATTAATTTATAAATCGTAATATATATATTAGTAGGAAGGATCTTTTAACTACCGTGTAAAATTTTAAAAAAAATTATTCCACATTTCACTCATTGATTTACATTTATTTAATAATTATAATTTATTTATGGGTTTGCTTTTTCTATAGTCAATGTAGATAACTTATTTATATTGAGTCCAAAACGACGTAGTTTTGAGACAAAAATCAAGGTATTTTTGTAATTATAATTTATTTCAAGGTTGTAATAGTCTTTTTCATTATAATTTTTTAAATTTTCAACCCAAAATGACGTCGTTTTGGGAACGAATGTAGATAAGTTATCTACATTCACTTTAGAAATATTAAAGCTTTTATTTATAATTATTAATTAATTATTATAACTCAATAAATTATAACTATAATATTAAAAATGAACAGCTGAATTAAAGAATAAGACTTTTTAATTTTATTGTTTGGAGTTAAAAAATCCTCCTAATGCATCACTTTTTTTTTTTTTTGATGACAATGCATCACTTTATTTTCTATAGATGTACGAGATAAGTTTCCTCGTAATCTTTGGAAGTTTTTTTTTTCTTCTAAGGTAACACGTGATTATGTATATTAGAATATATTATTATCTAATTATTTCGGCTATATATTATAGCAATAAAATGTTGGTCAGTAATCTTTGTCTTTGTAAGGTACTAATGTACTATACTCTTGTACGGTACTTTTTCTTTTGGGGTTATTATTTTACATATTTATGGGAGGCACATGTGTCGTATAACGTGTCTCCGCTATAATTTTCTAATATTTATTTTTCTTGTGTGTTGGCATCTAAAGGAATATATCACATCCTCGGTTTATTTGTTGTCCTTTTTTTTTTTTTTTTTTTTCAAAAAAACATAACATAACAATGGTGTTCTTGTTTTCCTGACTTAGATCAAACGTGCATATGGTATATTTAGAATATTTTTAATAGTTTTCTAATTCGAGTCTTGATATTTGTCTCAGCCTTTCAGGTAATGCGAGATTTAACTCCAACATGGATCTTATATGATTTATCTCTACAGTTAATTAAAAGTATAAGTGATTAAAGGATAATATTTTTTTTTAACAAATATCGTGTTTTTTCCGATTTAAATACATCTAAATGTCGTTAAAAAATTATACAAAATTGTTTATTTTGCTCCCATGAATAATAAACTATGTGCAAAATACTCCTTCACTCTTTGATTTCATTTTGGAAAAAAGATCAAATACGGCAAAGTGTTCATGGGATGATGATTGCCAATTAAACTATTTAGTAAATCTGCTCATCTCAGTATATATATGTAAGTGTATTTGGAACCACCTTTTCCTTTTTTTATCCTTTATATCTACCTTCTGATCTTCTTTTATATCTAATTTCTTTTCATTTTTCTATTACCAAAAATTCAATGCTGATATGAAATTATGCTTCTAACAATCTAACGCTTGAATCATAAAATGAAAATTGAAATTCCTTAATATGATCAATTTTCAAGTATAATAGTCAACAAGTGAAAATTTCCTTGGCACTTTTTTAAATACTCATATGGTACGAAAAAGAGAGGAATCAAAGGGGAATTATGAATGGAAGAAGGGAGCAAGCTATTACAAGAAAAGAAAGAAATCAAAATCGCAGGAAAGGTTTATTGTTCATATAAACAAAATGAACCATTTATGTTGTATAAATGAGTTATGAATAAGAAGTTGGAAGAGTCGTGTCTTTTCATTTCAAATAGTCGCGTCTCTTCGCTTGCGAAGAGTCGTGCCTCTTTGCAAGTGAACAGTCACGCCTGTTCGTTTCTGAATAGTCATGTCTTTTTCATCTTGTGACCATTCATCTCTATAAATACCAGTGGCCTGTAAACAATAACTACCAAGCTTTTCCTGACTTCTTTCTAAAACTCTGCCAAAATTAATCCTCACATAATGCTTTTGTCTGCGATTGATCAGCGTTCGTTGTGTCCACCGATGTTGTTTCTTTTGGTAGTGTCACCATTGAAACAGAGATAACCCATTTTATTCTGGAAGGCATTTGTCCACGAACCTTAAACCTTAGGCATCGTTGAGGAAACAAAATTGTCTTAAGGACACAAGATCTAACACTGGGTTCGAGTTTGATTTTCTTAAACTTTTAAACCTTGCATTTTACATTTTGATTTTCTATGACTGCTTGCAATTTTGTATTTTACTAATATCACTATAACCAAAAACACAAATTTTTATACTACCACCTTTAACAATTTTTAATGGCAATTAGGTGAACTATGGCAAAAAAAAAAAAAAAAAGCTATAGAAGAAATAAGTGATAAAAAGGAATCAGAAGGAATAAATGATTATAAAATATGTCATAAAGAGGTGATTTGAACTTTCCCATATAATTGAAGAGTAGATGTGAAAATTTATATAGTAAAGTTGCCTTGAAAACCCATTAAAATAAATGCTTGTTAATTTGGAAATAGATGAATGAAATGGTGAAATTAAGAAAACCAACTATGTTAACGACCAGAAAATTTTATTTATGTCTGCACACTAAGTGGCAGGGTTCGGGAGCAGCTCTAGGAAAAAAAATTAAAGAAAATTTTAAATGCACTAAAAAAATAAAAGAATATAAACAAGAAGAGAAAAGAAAACTATTCACATATATCAAGCTTAGCTATTTAACGTATATCTCATTTTTTAGTAAATGCTATTTCAAGCTAGAGTAAAGTACTTTTTGGGTCCTCAACAAATATCACAGGACTCAATTTAATCCCTTAAAAAAAATTTGACTCGTGGTCCTTCTAAAATTCAAAATAGACTCATTTAGTCTTTTTGAGGGTCTAACGAGGGTTTTTTTTTTTAATTTCAGATGGACCACAATTTCAACTAATTGTGTCTATTTTGAATTTCAGAGAGATCATAAGTCGACTTTTTTTCTAAAGAATTAAAATGGGCTCCGTGATTTTTGTTGAGGACCCAAAATGTACTTTACTCTTCAAATTATTTTAAGCTATTCACATAGCAAATCCTGCGGTAGTAGAGGTGGCTCACCCACTATTCACATATATCAAGCTTTGCTATTTCAAACAAAATTATTTTTTTGTGTCTGCACATGCACACGTTGAACTATATAGGTCCGCCAGTGTATGTTATGTATAATCCGAAAATAATAATAATAGAGAAATTAAAAAGAAAGCAATAAATGTTGATAAAAAATAATTGAATAGCAGTGATAGTATATGGTAAAATTGTCTCGAAAAAAAGAAACCATTTTGATAAATATAACTATAAAATAACTTTATGTTCACTTTTAAAATAAAAAATATGCAGTGAAAGCAGATAAGTTATGCATTAAGCCTAAAATGACATTTTTTGAGGCAAAAATCAAGGTGTTTTGTAATTATAATTTATTTCAGGATTATAATAATCTTATCAATATAATTTTTTAATCTTTCAACCAAAAAAGACGTTGTTTTGAGAATAAATATACATAACTTATATGCATTCACTGTAGAAACATTAAAGCTAAGAATATAATACTAAAACTTAAATAATAATAATACTAGTGCTTTAGTAAAAT